GATCATATACTATATGTGATGTAATTGTCTTTACATTTGAATATCATATGTAGTCTCTGTATGTACAGATTGATTAGATATTGTTAAACACCACCATCATCAAATAGCCAGATTACAGTTGCTATTTTATTAACAACTGTATATTAAGCTGTATTGTCTATACAATGCATATCTATAGCAAATCAGCCATGGCATTAAGCACTTTTTAATTGGAAAAGGTAAAGTGCCACTCATAGGGCAATTTCCTTACTCCATTGAAAATTAAAGCATTCTCCAGGTAGACCTGGAAAAAGTACATTGAAGGATTCTGTAGCTTATTTTTAAGATATTAACACTGGTACCAAAAAGAAGAAATTGTTTGCTGCAAGGACTTTTGTACAGGCTGTAGTCCTTTGCTCGTTTCTTTTTTTTATTTTAGACATTATTTGATAGCATATGTGATAACATTTAAGATGGACTTAATGGACAAATTTCGATGTGTTTTCTCTTCTATTTTAATTCAGCATTTTTTCTTCTTATATATATATATATATATATATGTATATATATACACATATATATATATTATTTATTTACTTATTTATTTTGGTTTTTCGAGACAGGGTTTCTCTGTGTAGCTTTGCGCCTTTCCTGGAACTCACTTGGTAGTCCAGGCTGGCCTCGAACTCACAGAGATCTGCCTGGCTCTGCCTCCCGAGTGCTGGCATTAAAGGCGTGCGCCACCACCGCCCGGCTTTGTTTTATATTTTTGACTTTTTGAAACGTACTCCTGGAATCTACATGTCATGTCAGAGGGTTTGTGAATAACTTTCCTGAATCATCTGATGTTCATTTGTTGTTTGCTTTGATTATAACACAGCAGTTGGCCTTTGTCACCATTCTCTGTAACTGGGGGCAAGCTGGGATATCTGTAAGTAAAATAAGCTTCTCAACCAGCGTGGAGGGATTAAGACTATCACCCTGCATTAACCACACTAGATTTGATTTTCTCTGTTCTTACTTGAATTTGAGTCATAAACTGATATTCTCCTCTGATGAGATAAGTGTGTATAAGTTTTCTGATTTTTTTTTGTTGTTGTTGTTGTTTTGTTTTTTTGAGACAGGGTTTCTCTGCATAGCTTTGCGCCTTTCCTGGAACTCACTTGGTAGCCCAGGCTGGCCTCGAACTCACAGAGATCTGCCTGCCTCTGCTCTGCCTCCCGAGTGCTGGGATTAAAGGCATTTGCCACCACCGCCCGGCTATTTTCTGATATTCTTATAAATTGCCAGTTACACTGGATTTTTCAATTTCAATTCCAAATAATTTTCTAGCTTTTAAAAATGTAAATAAAACCACCTAGAGGTAATGCACTCAACCAAATGATATGATGATTTAAATATGTATTATATATTTGAATACATATATAATTGAGTTGATATGTCAGATATTGGCCTTTCTGTTTATAATTTCATTTTCACAATGTAAATTTAATTTTATAGTTTTATGTTCATGCTTTCACTTTTTCATTTCTTAAAGCATCTAAACCCTTTATTATTGTCAGGGAAAAGATATTTAATCCCTTGTTTAATAGATCCAGATATGGTCCTATAAGTTTGCTGTATTTTGTAAGTAGAAGTCGGCTGACTTTATTATATCTTGAGTTTCACTGGACAAGTGTTTCTATTATTACTGGCACAGAGAAGAAAATCTATATGAAGGTGATAATTTATTTGCTTTCATGCTCCTGTTCTCTAGCAGAACCTTATAGATTTGCATTTACAATTACTCACAAGTGAGAACAGCAGATACTTTTTTACTGGCTCTTTCAATACAAAAACTACAGTATCTTCATACATGGTGGAAGACCACTGGTGAGTAAAAACACATATTCAAAATACAGTTTGGACAGAAGAGTGACCCCGAGGCTCAAAATGCATTCTGAACATTGAGAAGACTAGAGTTAAGTTCCTGGCATTCGTATCAGCTGGGTCCTTATTGCTTGTAACTTCAGCTCCAGGTGTTCTGACATACTCTTTCTTATGTAGGCACCTAAACTAATGGATGTGCACAGACCTCACACATACACATACACATAGTTAAAAGTAAAATATATCTTCCAAAAGGATAATATAGCTTCTTATCTGAGATAATCCCAGATACCCACATCACAGAAAATAGAGTACAAATTCCTACACTTTGTTATCCTGACCTCCACAAGGGTGCTATAGCATGAACACACATGCATGTGCATGTTCATACATGTGTGTGAACACACATACAAATAAATAACTGTAAATAATTAAATGCAAAGAAAACTCACATATATATGTGTGTGTGTGCATGTATATGTATATATATGTATATGCATATGTGTATCTATCTATCAATCTATCTATCTATCTATCTATCTATCTATCTATCTATCTATCTATCCACATGTATATTGTGTGTAGGTGTGTACACATAATGTAATTTCTCAAAGAGTCCTGAACAGGGTGTTGAATCCAATCCCCTTGGGCTGGAGATTCATGTGGTTGTAAGTGCTTGACATGCGTGTTAGGAACTCAAGACCTCTGCAACAGCAGTAAGCACCTCAGCCACTTAGCTACTCAGCCACCTCCCCAGCCCTCATACAGCGACCTTTTATAAATAAATCCATTATTCAGTGTAACAATAAATATGAGTAGCTTTTACTATATTTTAATTGAAACATATGTTCTTCATACTGAATAAACTCTTTAATATGCTTTCACTTTACTCAAATTATAATAACATTAAAATTTTGCCAAAATTGTATATCAATGTCTGATAGACCCAGATGACTTTTCAAAAGCCTTTAACCAAGAATCTGAAAAGTACAATGAGTTTTGATCCTCAGACAGAATTAAATGACTCCAAAGGCTCATCACTCTATGGAGTATGTATAAATATCTTCATCTAAGCATTCTTCCTTTTCATCATAATTAATGAAGGAATGTACAACATAACATAATTTGAAGAACTCTCCCAATATATTTATAACAATGATATCATTACATCATAAACTCCAATAACAATGATATGAATTACTTTGTTGCAAATAAGCCAGATGTTTCAATAGTTTACTTCCTTATTTCGGATAAAAGCTCTACTCAGGATGAAATATTATAAGATCTAAAAACTTAAGTGCTTCTTAGATATTCCCAAGCTTCACAATGTCCAGAATCTTTCAATGATTTCTGCTATCAGTAGATAGTCTTTGACTCAAAAAGAACAATTCACTACCCAGCTATTTCCCCTGGAAGACATACTAGTTTCACCTCACATGGTCTCAACTAAATGTGTTTGAATTCCCTGCAAATCTGTAAATTTATTTAAAAACAAAAATTTCATCTTTTTTATAAGAATCATTATTACCTCACCCTCTTGTTACAAAGCCAAGTTACTACATCCTCAGTGTTTCGTTCTGCACCTGGGCTAGACTTGCATGACATATGGTATCTATTTCCCCTGGAATGTAAGGGTGATTAAAAAGACGTGGACAAATCCACATTGAATGTTACATGTTTGACACATATGGATCCCTTAAATTAGCTTAGTAGTGAAATGAACTTTACTCCAACTACAGTAATCTAATCACTACCCGCACCTGTATACTGGCTAAAAGCACCACAGCACAACAAAAATAATATAGAGCTCTGTCCAGTCATTTCCAAGGTAAAAATCTGACTTTTTCTCACTCAGCTTCCTTCCCTGGAGCATTCCATGTTCTTACACCAATTCCAGCATTTCTAATAAGCATTATAGCTCTCCAATTCATCATAGAAGACTGAGGTACCACAGTGTACCTTTTCTCTCTTCCAACCTTTCCCCTCACCTCAGGAATCCCTGTGGAGAGTGTCTCCCAGAATCCTTTCCATGAAGAATCATTAACTCAGAACCTGATTGTCAGGGAGCTCAACCTGTGGGCCACCACTTCCATCACAATCACCAGGATTCTTGTTAGAAATGAAAATGGCTGGTATTTATCTCAGACCTATGGATTAGAAATCTAGGATTAGAGGTTGAGAGTCATCTGCATTATTAAAAAAGCATATCAGAAAATTATTTTTCTCATTACAGTGGTGCTAACAATGACAGCTGTGATTATCTTGATTGTATACAAAATTGAAATGCTGAAATGTATAAGGGGAAGTGCTAGAAGAATTTCAAAACCTCATGTAGGCTTTTATGTCAAAATCATTTATATGGAAGCATAAAAATATCTGCACATGAGCTCCATAGAGCACTAACAAAGAAACCACAGGCAGAAACAAGGATTCTAAGATTATAGATCATAGAATGTTTGGGAACAGCTACAGGAATTAAAATACTTAATTTAACAGTTAAGTAAGGGCTTAGAGTCTGCACAAATAACAAATACTGTGTGTCTAGGAGACCCCAAAATAGGCAGTGATATAATCTTTTATGTAACTATTCTTAGCAGGATGTTGCTTTATGTGGGTTCTGGATAAATATGGCTTCAAGGTCACAGGCTGGGACCTAGGCCTCACTCCTTCCCATTCTTGTGTTTATGTACCTGTAGGTCTATGTCGCTCCCTCCTTGTAGCCTATGTGCTCTTCTATATGTGTGCTTGCATATCTGCTGGTGTCTGCCTGTCTAGTGGCCTTCACCCAGAGTAAACAGAGTATTTCTTATTTTCTGTCAGCTCCTCATGATCTCTTCAATCTCTAACCTGTAGGGAGTTTCCTCCTTTCATAGTAATGGAACTTAGATCTCATGTCTGGCATAGTCAGAAAGATTCAACTGCCCTACCTCACTGGGAGTATCTCTTCAGATTCTGTTGGACATTCTTCTGGGAGAGGAGCAGAGCTTGGAAAATTAACTGGCTCTTTTAACTGCAGAGAAAACTGGTCTTGAGGACATTTTGAGGTTAGAAGTCGAGGTGTAAAATTTTCAAATTTAAACAAAACTTGAAAACTTGAATATGTGATTTAGAGCATTATCTGAATAAGAATGTTTTTATGTTTTTTAAAAAAGGAGTATATTTAGAGTTTGGAGCAGCTGAACCCTATACCGCTAAGAGGTGGAAGATAGCATTTTGATGGCATCACAGTATACGGAGAGATTGGCCTCCATCAATACCACCCCACTTAAAGGCGGTGCCTACAAGACACAACCACAGAACTGGGGAAAACACATGCTAATGACCTCTGTGATGGTTGTAGTACATACAGTATGTGGTAAGTTGACAAATACTACAAATAAAGCAACCTCATAGAGGGGCTTATTAGAGGTAGCTCAAGAGTGAAATATATGTCAGACTCCCAAAATGTAACATTACCTTTAGCAGTGCAGGTGGCAAGTAGAGTATTTCCTGTGCTAGAAACAATGGACCTCAGTGAACAGGCCTGCAGAGCATCCCCATACCCTGTAGTTAGACACACTGTGGATGCTGGCTCTGCCTTGGATCATGAAAAGGGTCCTGGATATGAAACCTCTCCAGACAGAGACAAGTACTTTGGGCCTCATCAAGTGGGGACTTACAGAAGACATTAAACATTATGCCCATTATTAATTGGTTCTCCACTAATGTACAAAGGGTGTTCAGCATTTGTGGTTAGTGGAACTGATTATACTTTCGTCCACAGAAACCTTAAAAGCTTTTCTGGCATCATACATAAATGGCTCTAGGTCAATCAAGGCCAAATTCATAAATGTCTCTTTGGATATCTGACCTTTTTGTCACCCTCCCCCAGTCATATATAGTGTATGCTTCCTTGTAGTGGAGTATGTCCTAACTGTGGACATTCTGTGAGTGTTGGCAACATTTCAAGCAGCTATCAGAGAACTCAAACTGCAAATGTGGACTGTGAAACCAATGGAGAGGGGCCTTCCTCATTACTATCTCTGCAAAGATTGCCAAACCTAGGAACCATGCGGTTCCAGGGAACATGCTGATTTAATATGAGTAACACATAATACTACAACACATCTCCATGGTCAGTGTGGAAACCAGATAAAACTCAGAATGGTTGTGAGCAATGAGAAATAAATATGGTGACTCCACCTATGCATGCTGCTGTGCTATCCTTCATGGACTTAGAGGACTGAGCAAATCTGACTTGGAGTCAATATCATGGTATAGTGGATCAAAAACTCTTTTTATTCAACTAGAAAAGTTTATGTTGGACATATATCATATCACACTATCCAAGAGAAATCTGTGCAGCCCCACAATTTGTCACAGTTTGATGACACATAACTTGATTCTAGGCAATAGTCCAAGGTCATCACGTTGTATCATTATGTTAATGACAATATACAAATACAAGTCTCTGATTCTCTCAAAGATTTGAATTTGTTGTTCTGAGTCTAATGGCTGCCCAGGTATCTGCTATAAAATCATGGGGGTAGATGATGAAGTCCTCAAGAGTACCAGGGTCTCAGTTTTCTGTTCCAAAGAGGTGGCACTAAGTAGTTATTCCCTAACAAAAGAGTTCCAGAAGGGCATAAGATAAGCAAACACATATAATAGTACAAAATATTCTCCCCCAGAAGAAAAATGTCTCAAATACTGAGAGTTCTATTAGTGTCCATGAGCCACATATAAAGTAACAACGTGACCGTCTGATGATAGTTAAAGAAAAACAGAGGTTAGCTAGCACAGCCACTGGCTGCATCAAAGACTCAATGACTAGTAGTCATTAAGTGAGCCCTCCAGTCCATGTGTGTACAAAATTGAGAGACTTGGGAACCTTAGGGCCTGAAAACAAAGGAAACCTACATAGCATGGAGGTCCTGAGAGCATGCAGGGCTAAAGAGCCTGAAATATTTACGGAGTGAGAATCCATAGAGGAGATATGGTTATTCTCTACACTGTAATTATGGATTATGGGTCTAAATAGAATCCTAGTAGGTCCTACTTTAATAAAACACCAGTTATCTAAAAGTCATAGGATGTTGGAAATAGAAGGACACAAGAACCAGTTCGTGTTTAGATAATATGAAACTACTACAGATGTACAGTATGAGTCCGTTAAAACATGGTTGACATTGGACATCTTCTGGGCTCTGAATTAGCGTAAATTGCCTGACACTGGATTTCTGAGAGCCTCCAATGTAATGGTGATATAATATGTTACATAATTATTTTTGGCAGAAAGTAACTTTTGTGTTGGTTCTATGTAAATATGGGACTTGAGTTTAGAAGCTGTAGACTGAACCATTGCCTTTCCCATCTTGCCTGCATGTATCTTCCCATATTTCCATGTGCTTGCCTACATGTGGCCTGTGTACTGGTTTGAGTGCCTCCTCATGGTTATATAATGGTCTTGACCAAGGGTGAGTGAAATGTTTGCCCATTGGCTCATCTTAATCTCTTCAACTTCCCACCTTTCATCACCCTACTCTTACCTAGCATCAGAGCTTGATCCTATACCTACTTCTATGTTCTGTAACTTTGTTCTTTTGATCTTTGATATATATATGATCTACATTACCCCCTTATTTTCTTTAATGGTTTCTGAAGTAGTAAGTCAGGATTTCTGTTGCTATTCCTGAGAAACAAAGTTAGATTTCAAAGTTACTAACTCCCCTTTACATTATTAGAATGGGTATGTAATTAAAGTTTTCTTTTTAACATTAGAGATAAATTAATATCCATTCTCTTTTTTCTTTCAGGTATTGATAGACATGCTGGAATGGCCAATTGTATCAAGAATTAATCTGTGAGATACAACCTTCTTCTAGCAGAAAACAAAAAGAGAAATGAACACACCAAAAATATATATACAATTGCACATGGATCGATATACATTTATATGACTTAGTCTCCATATATATTAAAGATAATTCCCTACCGACATGTCTGTAGGCCAAAGTTATCTAAATATTCATTCTCTAAGACTCTCTTCTCAGATTATTCTAAGTAGTGTAAAGTTGACAGCTAAAACAATTCAGTGCATAACTGCTTACTTCTGATTTCTGATTACTTAAATCTCATGCCAAACATTAGGGGTCATTACATTTATATATTGGCACTCATTAAGTCTTCTACATAAGTAGCTCCTGAGTTCCAATGTTCATCTTATTTTAAAGATAGTATTGTAGGAATAACAATATAGTATTTATGAGAAAATGGACAATAGTTCTGACTGATACTTCTCAGCCATGTGAACATAGAATTTATTATTTATCTTTAGGTTTCATTTGTATCATGATATAACCTGTTCATGAACTTAAATGTATTCTTAGAAGAAGCAAATGAACTAGTATATGTGAAAATATTCTGAAAAGCATCTCTTTTTATACATTAAAAAAAGTGTAAAGATGTTTGTATTTTTATAGTATAATGGTTGGAATTTTTTATAAAAATAAAAGTTGAAGAAAGACATTCAAAATAGATGGCTAAATAGTTTTTCTCCTATTGTATAGGAGAAATTATTATAATTATTATTATAAATACTATAATAGTATTTATAGTTATTCTTGCTTCAAATCTATATACTGTTAATTCTCCTCATGCCATTGGCCTAGAAATAGGTAGGACTTAGGTCATAGTGCCACAGCAGATTTTTGAAGTGAAATTCCCTAATTAGCTCATCAATATCACCTATACTTTGATAGAAATCTAATTTTTCAGGAAGCAACCAAAATCTCTGGGGCTTGGGCTAACAATACCCATTTTGACAAGCCCTTCAGTTGCTTTGGACACATGCTAGTTTTTGAAAAGCTCCTGGATTTTGTTCTTATAAGTCTAAAAAGTATTTCCTCTAGCCCTCACCATTTCACTGTTAATTTATCAGCCATAGCTTGCTTTCCTCTTTTTTCCTTATCATACAATCTAATGGTCAATATTCTCCTTATAAAAGCATGTCACACAAAAACCCACTTAAGTAAAGCATTTAAGTAAAAACAGTCATCCCTTCCTACTATGTAGGGTCAACCATTGGAAATGAATAGTCTACAGAAACACTTGAGCTGACTTGAAGCAACTTATCTACCAAAACATGAGCTATGATGGTAATAGACTGAAGTGTTTAAAAGCAAATATGGGTAGAGCCTAAGCAGTGTTTAATACATAATCAAAGTCACATTTTTAAAAATTTACGGAAAAATAGTTCCGTAAAGTATTCAACACCTAGTGGAAAGATTGGCATGCTACACATTGAAGACTGAAACAGATAAGATCTTTACCATTTCCCTAACTTGACTGAAATGAAAGTGATAGTGTCATGCTTCCATAAAAATATATGATGTTGTCTCCCCCAAGACCCAGCTATACCACTCTTGGGCATATACCCAAGGAATGCTCAATCATACCACAAGAGCACTTGCTCAGCTATGTTCATATCAGCATTGATTGTAATAGCCAGAACCTGGAAAAAACCTTGATGCCCTTCAACTGAAATGGATAAATAAAATGTGGTACATATACACAATGGAATACTACTCAGCAGAGAAAAACAATAGCATCATGAGGTTTACAGGCAAATGGATGGATCTAGAAAAAATCATCCTGAGTGAGGTAACCCAGACTCAGAAAGACAAATGGGGTATGTACTCACTCATAGGAAGATGCTAGATGTAAAACAAAGATGATTAGACTGCTACTCACAACTACAGGGAGGCTACCTGGAAAACAGGACCCCAAGAAAAACATGGGGATCACCCAATGACGGAGAAATGAATGAGATCTACATGAACAGCCTGGACATGATTGGGAGTAATGAAGGGCGAGGGTCAAGGGAAAGAGAGCTTGGGGGAGCAGGAGATCCCAGCTGGATCAAGAACAGAGAGGGAGAACAAGGAATAGGAGGCCATGGTAAATGAAGACCACATAAGAATAGGAAGAAGCAAAGTGCTAGAGAGGCCCACAGAAATCCACAAAGATACCCCCACAATAGACTCCTGGCAATGGTCAAGAGACAGTCCTAACTGACCTACTTTGGTGATAGGATGACCAAACACCCTAATTGTCATGCTAGAAACCCCATCCAACGACTGAGGGATCTGGATGCAGAGATCCATGGCTAAGCTCTGGGTGGAGCTCCAGGAGTCTAATTAGCGAGAAAGAGGAGGGTTTATATGATCAAGAATGGTTGAAACCAAGGTTGGATCAAGCACAGGGGCAAATAGCCAAACGAATGGAAACACATGAACTATGAACCAATGGCTGAGGGGCCCCCAACTGGATCAGGTCCTCTGAATGGGTGAGACAGTTGATTGACTTGATCTGTTTGGGAGGCATTCAGGCAGTGAGACTGGGTCCTGTGCTCATTGCATGAGTTGGCTGTTTGAAACCTGGGGCTTATGCAGGGTGGCTAGGCTCAGCCTGGGAGGAGGGAACTGGACCTGCCTGGACTGAGTCTACCAGGTTGATCTCAATCCTCAGGGGGAGGCTTTGCCCTGGAGGAGGTGGGAACAGGGGGTGGGCTTGGGGGAAGGGGAGAGGGGCGGGGGGGGGAGAACAAGGGAATCTGTGGCTGATCTGTAGAACTGAATTGTACTGTAAAATAAAATAAAAAAATATATGATGTTGTGATGTCACAAATTTTTACTTGATTAATAATTTCTAGAATGAAGTGTTCTTAAAACCCTTGAAAGTTTCTCTGCAACAGAGTAGGAGAATGATCTTTTGTCATTCATGATGTGCCCCTTTCCATAACAGGCTTTATGCAAATTAGGCGATTCTTGTAGGACACTAATAGATTCCTAATGAGGCACTCCATGCAAAGGAAAACAATCAGGACTTCCATGAATAAGAATTTCAAGCCTGCCCACCTGATCTCCCCAAGGATAGGGGAGTGTGATGTTGAGATACTCACTAATAGCTAATTGTTTAATTATATATGATAGAACGGAGCCTCCACCAAAATACTAAATAATGGAAATCTGGTAAAAAGTAATTTCCAAGTTGGTGAATGCATTCTCCTTAATAGACACAAATGTATTTGGGATCTTTCTGGATCTTACACTGTAAACTTCTTTTGACTGTTCACCATTGTTCTGTAGAGTAATCCTGTAATAAAAAAAAAAAAAATGTTCCCCTAGTTTTCTGAGCCATTCTAGGAAATAATCAGTTTCAGAAGAAAGTCTCAGAAGTCTCTGACTTTGAAGTCAAGTTGGACATATTGTGAGTTAACTCACAGTCCCATTCAAATGGAACATATGTTTAAGTAATATGGCCTCTGAAGGGAAGACATCTTTGGCCTAAACTCTACACATTGAATTCTGATGCCAGCTTTGGTTAGTATCAGAATCAGAATAGTCAGAATATGCTTAACTGTAGAATGCTTTTGGCATTTGACTAGGTTTCCATCACCATGCAATGATTTCCTTCTTTTTAAATTGGTCTTAAATCCAATTATAGGGCTGTTCATTCCTGCCAAGGTGTATCTACAGCACCGTTGGAGTTAATTATGTGATGCTGGTCATGACTGTGGTGATATTTTGTTTGTGCTTTAACAAATAAACCTTGCCTGGAGACCAGAGTGTGGAGCTAGCCACCAGAGGCCAGTCAGTGGTGGCCTTTAATCCTTTAATCCAGCACCTGGCAGGAGGAAACAGGAAGTGACATGACTGGACAGAGAGAGGAAGTTTTAAGGCAGGGTGGAGAAAGGAGCTCAGCCCTTTTAGCCTGAGGATTCAGTAGAGGTAAGAACTCTTTCTAGTGGATGGCTCCTTTATCTCTCTGATCTTTCAGAATTTACTCCAATATCTGGCTCTGGAGTTTTATTAAGACCAATTAGGATTTATGCTACAGTTCAGAGACATCGTAGCTAGGTAGGACTATTGTTTTCTTCCCTCCATTTGAAACTTGCTTCTTGTACCATGAAAGTTAGTTCTCAGGAAGGAGGCATTCAATTCAGTTCCAGTTCAGGGGTCTCTGGTCTTGTTTCTCAAGTTCATGATGTCTTCAGCAAAAGGGATTTACCTTTCACCTCAGGTACAGTGAAGGGCAAGAGCAAAGCCTGTATATTTTGGGAGTCTCTTGGACAGCCCTGATGGAAAATTCAGAAGAATACCTCTCATGCTTGATGTGGGAATATTTAGTTAGGTGGTCTATGGCTCTTGGAGAAAGCAATTTCACTTGTCAAAATGGTAAGTAATAAAAGTCATTTAAACTACATGCTTTCTTTTTTAAAGACAGGGTTTCTCTGTGTAGCCCTGGCTGACCTAGAACTCACTGTTTACACTGGGCTGCCCTCACACTTACAGATCTGTCTGCCTCTGTCTCCCTAGTGCTGGGATAAAGGCATGTTCCACCACTGACCAGCTTCAGAAAATAGATAAAGAAAATGGACATTTACATGATGGAGCATTACTTAGGTGTCAAAAATGATATGAAGAAATTTGCAGACAAATGGATGGAACATATATATATATATATATATATATATATATATATATATATAATGCAAAAATGAAATATCTCCAACAACAGATGTGAAAGGGGTGACTGCATTCAAAACTACTAAGATACTCTCAAGAAAAGAATTAGTTTTGTTTGGCAGGAAAAAATGTAAGCCATATTGAGAGTAGAACTAAAGAAATTACTAGATTTTCTTTGAGTTGAACTTGACACTGATGGCTAATCTCTGCAGAGGAGAGCAGATCCAGCTACACTGCAAGATACCCATAGTAACTATAAACTCAGATACTTGAATTCTTGGTTTGTAGTGCTCTTTGGGGAGGTTTAGGAAATTTAGGCTTGCTGGAGAAAGTATGTTATTGATGTTAGGCTTTGAGAATTAATAAACTTTCCCTATTTCCATTTTATTCTGCTTTGATCTTGTGATAAAGGATGTGACTCTCAGCTTCCTGCCCCTGCTGCTATGCCTACTGCTTGCTACCATTCTTC